CCAGCTAGACTCCCACACCCAGGCTGCACTGGCCTCTCCCCAACAAGCTCATACCACCTAGTCTCGGGGCCCCTGTGGTGACTGGGCTATGGAAGCCCCAACCCAGCCAAAGGACACACCCCATGCAGATCTGGGCACTGGGAAAGGGAAGGCATAGACTGCCTGCACAACTGGTCTCTTGTCAGAGACGTGGGCCCAGAAAAGTCCTCCACTATCGCGTTCAGGTATTTCCTGTCCCAGGGTCCTCTCACGTGAACCCCACAGGAGGGACGTGGATAGTGTTTGGAAAGGAGCAAGGAAGGGGCCCATTAGCCGTGTGTCCATGCTCCTGGGACACAGGATCAGACTGCCTGAGGCCAGCATGTGCTGAGTTGTTCCCAGCATCATCATGAGAAAGCCCAAAGGATACAGTGGATACCTAAAGGGATGACTTAGTCACGGGGTCTCTTGCCCATTCAGCTCAGACTCCTATGTCTGGAGAGGGGCTGCCAGCTGAGGTCCAGAGATGGTCAGCTTAGAGCTACTGTCACGTCCCTCCTTAAGAAGAGGAGTAAATATGTTACTGCCTAAGGAATGAACGAAGTCCCTTCCTGAAGAGCCAAGACTGTCCAGGTGAGCCTAAGCATCCACATCCATATATCAGCCTGGGACCTACAGGTATGACTGGACACACCCCCACCTGCAAACAAGTGAGCTATGACACTGAGCTCTCTAAAAGCAGAATTTGCAAACCAGCCCAATCATCACTGCACAGATAGTTTGGAGGTGTGGATACAATCTCAGAACAGCTGCTTAGTATCCCAGGTCTCAAAGAGCTGCCAAGGGCTTCCTAAGCTAACACAGGCTGTGATCCCGGCAGGTACCTTAGCAGGGTACCAGGAACAAGGGCCCAGGGCACATTCTAAGTACATGATTTCTATACTGGGGGCCTTCTTCCCAGTTCCCCCAGGGCTCACAGCAGGAAAGGGAGTCTCAGGGGTGCTTATCTTTTGTAGAACCTTGAGGCTCAGGATTTACCTGCTAAAGACGGGCACAGCGTCAATCAGACTGTGGGAGCTTGTCTGGCAGAGGGCCACTAGGAACTGATCTACTCACAGAGGAAACCCCAGACCTTGCTTCATGCTGAGCCAGACTGTGTGGGGAGGAAGCTGCCCCTATCCTGGTGGAACTGGCTGGGGTGCGGGAAGAAATCCGATTCCAGAAATGACAGAAACATCTGACCCCCTGGGCTGTGTTTCAGTATGTGAGATAAGGTGTCTGTCTTCCCTGGGACAAGACAGAGGTGTGGGCTCCTGGGGGGCTTACCCAGCTCTGAAGCACAGCCGAGGTGCTGTCTGGGCCCGGTGAGGGCTCCTCTGGGTGGAGGGACTGGAAAGGAGCCGGGGTGTGAGTGCAGTGAGGCTGTCCTAGCAGGTGCCCTTAGACACCTCTGTGCCCCTCAGTGTCCCGTGCTCAGACTAGGACCTCTGGAGTTTGCACCTCTAAGGCTGGAACCTTTTCTACTCTTACATGGGGCCATGGGCTGAGACACTACACAAGGATACTGTCAGGTAGACTGAGCTGGGCACAGGCCTGGGGACCTGTTGCTGGTAAAGTGGGCTTGGGCACTGCTTGCTGACAGCTGGCCTGGAGTGTCACAGAACCCCAAGCTGTTTGCCTTGAAGGAAGATAGGTTTACACTTGGCTGTGTCAACTGTGATCTGTCTTGGGGACAATTGCGTGCCTATACTCTACCTGACATTCCCGCCCGGGCCCAGAAATCCAGCACTCAGCAATGGGGCCTCAGGGGCAGACCAGAGTATGGCCTATAGGGTGGGCTTAGGGATCTGAACAGCCTCAGAAGTGGAGATGGGGTAACTATGGCCGCCACTATGGTGGCTGAGCATGTCTGCACATGCCTGCTCTAGGGTCCACTTCTGGTCATCTTACCTTGTGACTTGAGGACAGAAGCACTTTTTGCTTGCCTGTAGAAGCACCGAGGGGGTCTCTCCCTACTTCTGGACATAAGCACAGCGTCAAGTACCAACCCATCATTATCTTAACCTTTGGAAGACCGCAGGTCAACTGGAGTTAGGCAATGGGACCTGAGGAGGCCTCTGACCTCTGACCTCGGTGGACCACCCTCCCCTCCCAGCTTTGTATAGCTCCCTCTTGCCCATAGACCTCTAGACAGGGCTTCCCTTTCCACCCCACCTTCCCAGGACAGGAACTGCACCTTGGCTCTGGCCTCAGACTAAGCAGGCTTCCCATTGTGGGTGAAAGCAAGGTGCTGGGTGAGGGGTCAGCCAGGAGCCTGCCCTGCCCTCTGCCTATCCAGTTCTCAACTTGGAAGCTCTCAAAACATGGAGGGTGGAATTCAACGTGGTGCCTCCTACACAGCCCCTAAAGTTAGTCCTTCTCAAGACCTCATGCCCTCCAGAGCAGCTGGGGCCAGCCCAGGTCAATGGGGCCCCTCATTCAGATATTTTAGCAGTAAAAGGTTTTCTTGCCCCATTCCACATAAAGTCTGGGGTGTGGGGTCAAGGGGTTACCCTTGTAGTCAGGGTGAAGACTACCACCAAGGGGTGTGTGGGCCCCTGTCCCACTTTTCAGCTCTTTCCAGAAACAATGCATTGCACAATTCAGCTGAGGCTGCGGTGAGCAGGGGTGTGCAGGTAAGGAAGGTAACCACTCCCACCCAGGGCCATGCGATCTGGTTGCTTCCTGCCAGCACACCTGCCATGGTTCTAGGCAGAAGTGACGCCGAGGGAGGACCGCAGCCTACGGGTACTCCAAGAGTTAGGGGATTTGTCACCACCATACTACCCCACTCTGAGAGGAAGAGGCGGCTCTCTGGGATACCTGATCCTCTCCAGGGGCAATGACGCTGATTAGGGACTGGCAGCCACTAAGAGGTCAGTGGGGTGAGCCAGGCAGCAGAGCAGACCTGCAGAGCCAGCCTCAGGGTTCACAGGATATGCTTCCTGCCTGCACCAAAGGTCACAGGGTCTCAGCCAGGGAGTGCCCCTCTCAGCACTGGTCATGGATAGGAATCAAGTCTTGGGGCAGCTCACACCTCTGGAAGTAAATAGCCCAAGCAAGCAGGGCAGCTGTAGGACTCACCTAGGGGAAGCCTGGAACCCCTAATATTGTGCAAGCGGGCACTTGTCTGCCTGAAACCCAATGCCAGGAAATATTGAGAGGACTGCCATTAGGACAAGACCCTCTGTGACCTGGGGACCTGATGGACACTGGATGTATCTCTTGTGACCCTGATTCCCTAAGCTTGAAGACTATATTCAGGCAGAATGGACCTGGAGGTTGCCTTAGAGACCAGCCCAAGCCTTGACCAGCAGGGCAGACAGACCGTTCTCCAGCTGAATCCAAAGCTTGCTGTCCAGTGGGAATGCTCGAAAAAAACTGAAGGGCTGTCCTTACACTCTCTCTCTCAGACCCTGCAGCCCTGAGACGCTGGGAAATTCCTGTCCCCTCTCGGACTTCAGTTCTGCTTTGGGCTGTCCTCAAGGGACAGTCCACCCAAGAACAAAAGCCCAAAGGTGCAGAACTAGGTGTGCACCACCTTCTGGTGGCTTTGAGGAACACAACTGAACTCCCAAAAGCTGGTTTCCCATCAGGTCGTGAAGGGTTGCAGGTCACTGGGCCCCAGACCAGACCCAGCTGAGCCTGGCTCTTATATCTGAGGCAGCATAAAAGAGAAGCAATGGACATTGAATTCCTGGAGACTGGGCTTGGATACGTGAGTCCGGATTCCCATGTATACTATGCTGGTCACCAGCATGCTGCCTTGCTGGGTGAGACAAAGACCTGGACATGAAAACTGTGTTCCTCCCCTCATACCACACCAGAGATAGTTAGATAGTCTAACCACACCCCACTCCATTCACTCTACACCTGCCCAGCGACCACAGGTCTGAGGACCCTAGCCTGAGCCCCAGGATGCCTCCAGGCATCCAAAGAGGTGTAGCTGTTTATCTCCTGTCCTGTCAAGATAGAGCTCCAGCCTCCTAGCAAATGTCTGGGTCCCAAAGCCTGACATCTCACCCCCCTAGTGTCTGCTCTGGGGACACTCACCCTGCTGCCTTCCATGGGCCTGCTCTTGATGAGGTCCGGAGCTCCTGAGCACTGGAGCGTGGTATGTGCATGATCCTGGACTACCCATGGGCTACTCAGCCCCACTTCAGGCCTCTCTCTCTGGACAGTGGGCTATCCAGACTTGCTTGGCTCAGCCTGGTCACCACCAGGTCCCTTTTAATCATTCATACATTCATGCACTTACTCATTCATTCAACCACTTGACCATCCATGCCTTCATCCCCTCACACACTAATCCATTGATTAATCCATTGATTAACACACATTAATCTATTGATTCATTCATTGGCTCACTCCCTCATTCATCTGTCCATCCATTTGCTCACTTATACATTAATTCATTCACTCATTTATTCAATCATTCATCCACTTACTCCCTAGTTCACTTACCTAGCCACTCAATCGCTTGTACACTCATTCACTCCCTCCATCATTCAAGCACTTCATTATTCATGTACTAACTCACTAATTCTATCAGTCACTCACTTATCCATTCATTCACTAATCTCCTCAGTCACTAGTTCATTCACTCACTCATTCATCCATTCACACATTCACTCACTAATTTTCTTACTCAATCACTCACTTCCTTATTTACTCACTCATTCACTTACTCACTCACTAATTCACTCACTCATCCATTCTCTTCCTCATCATCCTCTCCCAGAATGCTTCTGACTGTGAGCATCACCCAGGCCCTAGTTAGCCTCTGTGTACTAATTGTCACCTTTAGGACATATCCTCCCAGCAAATAGAGGCAGAGAACTCCCAAGTGGCCCTCACCAGGCTGCCAAGCCCCTAGTGAACAGCCTGAAGTATAAGGCCCCCTGAAGTCCAGGCCTGTCTTTGTTCAGTTCCTATATCTATGGACATGTTTTAAAAATAGCACACACACACACACACACAGAGAATCCATAAATGCTCTGAGTGTATTTATAAAATAAATTGGCCATTTTCTGAAAGGGGGTACAGGTGCAGGGCTGAGGTGGGAGTGAAGCCAAGCAGACAGATGATACTGCATTCAGGTGACTCATTCATGGGATCCTTTGATGATACTGAAGTTCTTTCCAAAGGAGTCCAGTGGTCCTCATGTTCCTAATCAGTGGATAGGACCTCTCCCACCTCCAAGGACAGCTGAGGTTGATGTCCCTCTTGAAGAGAAAGTGCTGGGTAGGTAGAAAGTCTGGAATTCAAGCCACTTGAACAAGCAGCACGTGTCCTGCTGGCCTCAGGAGGACTTCTGGGCGGAGTGTTGGGACAGCAGTGCTGCTCAGTTTACTGGGAAGGCCCATGCACCTCCTCGCTGGCCCTGAATGCCGACTACTGGCCATGTTCCTTACTTCCCTTGGACTTGAACTCTGATTCTGAGGACTCTGGGTGGCTTGTGTCACCTAGAGCATGGCACCGCTGGCCCAGGCAGCCACACTTCTCAACCTGGGTGTAGCTGAAGGTGCGGCTGGAGCCGTCATCACAGCGCAGCGTCACACTCCTCTGCGAGGTTTGCAGCTCCTGGCAGCACTCACACTTGTGTTCCACTGTGTTGGCCTCCAGGGAGTACCTGTGGGTAGATCTGCTCAGCACCCGGCCCTGCCGGGAGCTGCCTGCACCTGCCACGGGCTCCGTGTCCAGTGAGCACAGTGCCAAGCTCCCGAGGTCTTTGTCACCCTGTGTACAAAACCCTACCCCTCTCACTTGCCAATGGCCCTGGGGCAAACGTTTCAGCCACAGCTGCCCTTGGCCACCAGGTGTCCTAAGTCTGCATCCTGAAGCTCAGCAGGTCATTGCCGCCTCTTTCTCACCCTCCTGGTTCTGGCCCTCTCTGCCCTGCTTCTGGAACTGAGTGCACCCCACCCCCACCCCACCCCTGGTGTTGCATCTCTGAACACCGTCCCCTGAGGCTCCCCGGGGCTCGGGATGCGTACATGGAGGTGCTGTCCCCGCAGTTGCCCTGGCAGTAGGTGAGGCTCACTGGCCCCTCAGAGCTGCAGTTTTGCTGACGGATGATCTGCTGTCTTTGGTGTACCGTGCATTCTGGGAGGACAGGAAGTGAGGCAGAGGTCAGTGTCTGCTCAGTCATTTCCTGGGTGCTCCAGGCTGGGATCAACCCCTTCCTTGTCAGACCCGCCCCCCCCACTTACTCTGCTGGGGTAGGAGACAGTCATAGCAGCAACCATCTTCTCTCAGCTGAGCGTGGCCCTGTACCAACAACGGACCATTGTGAATGCCAGGGGCAACGAGGCATCCGGAAATGGAGGAACGGCTCATGGGGCCAAATGTGAAGAGTAGTGGGGATGACCCTCCACGGAGGGGACAAGCCTGATGGCCATGCTGGCCTCCCCCTCATCTCCAGGTGAGCTGCCTCCTCGGCTGGAGTGGGGAAGCCCAAACTTACCGGTGGACAGTCGATCTTGGGGCATTCCTTCTTCATCGTCACAACCGTGAATACATCTTGAAGCTGCTCACACTTATGAGTCACACAGGGGTCCTCAGGTTCAGGCCAGGACTCACCAGGCTGAAAAGAGGCCCCGTCTGCATAGTGAGTGCTCATCCTCTGACTCCCCCCAGCCTATCGTCTTCTAGGGAGACACTGGCATAGGCCAGGCCTATGTCTGCCAGAGATAGCGTCCCAAGTGCCCCCAAGGTTCAGGACCCTGCCTATTCAGCCTGGAGACCCCAAGACCCTGCCTGATCATCCCTGAGCCTCCAGGATTTAGGCCACTCAGGGTCCAGTGCCCCGGCCCTTCCGACCCGTCCAAGAGACATACCGGCCAGTGGGGGGGGGGGGACCAGGGGGGAGGAGGGGAGGCAGGAGGGCAGTTCAAATGCTGTCTGTTTCGTGCTCTCTGTACCTGGGCCTGGGACTTTTCGTAGTTCCTTGGAGCGTGTGGTGGCTTTGTCCCAGCCTGTGTGGAGCCTTTGCAGAGCCTGTGGTCTGCTGTTCCTACCATCTATTCCCCTTTCTGAGGTCACCTAGCACAGTCCCAGGTACTCACGAGGTAGAAGTAGGTGGAGCTGTTGCTGTTTTTAACGAGGCAGCCCTTCTGTATACACTGGCCACAGCACTGCCCTGGCTTGACCTGGTACTCAAAGCCCTGAAGGAAGAATGGTATGCCGCCTGAGATCAGGCCATTGGCACAGGGTGGAGAGAGCAGGGCTGGGGCCAGGACTCACCTGAGGGCATTGGATGTTGCTGCAGAGCTTATTCTCACAGCGGACCACAAAGACATCTGCATGGAAATTGCTGGGCGCCTCACACAAGCATGCTTCACACAGGCTGGAGGAGATCACAGCACCAGGCTGGGGAGAGTCAGGGCTGGGCATTAGTGGGCTCAAGCTGGGAAGAGACCTGCCCTATACTCTGACTGGCCAGTTGCCCCAGCTGCCCACCAAGCTGACCCATTCTCCCGGAGATGATCCTTAACGTTCCCTCATGGTGAAGAGATCCTAATTCAGGTGCTGTCCCAGGGCGGAGCTTGTAACTGTGTCTCTATGTCAGGGGACCCAAGATACTACATACTTGGAGAATTGGTGTGGGGGAAGTGCGGTGCTGCCATACCCAGGGTGATTTCAGGGGACCAAGAGCTGCTAGAGTCCCGATGGGCCTGGACACCAGGTACCGGCAGCTTCAAGGATCCTGGGGCCAATCTTAACTGCACTGCTCTGAGCTACATCCACAGAGGTTTGTGTCGTTGGTCTGTGCAGGAGCTCTGTGCCAGGGTCTACAGCGGCTTAAGAACTCCTCAGCTTCTCAGATCATGGGGCTCATGGAGCACCCCAAATGGGAAGCTCAACCGCTGTAGGCTGCCAGGCCTGAGCACCAGTGGTTCCTACCTGGTAGAGAGTCCCGTTGACTTCACAGCCCTTCCGACCTGTCCAAGAGACATACTGGCTGTAGCCTGGGCCTTGCAAGGGCACAGCCTGACACCTACATCAACTGCTGCTAGTTACTGCAACACCTCGGGCTGCCTTCCCACCAAGGGCTCCACACCAAGCAACACCAACCCATCTCCAACCACCAGTGGCTTCATCGGGCTGGTCCCCTGGGAAATTCCAGGCCCCGGTGTGACTTGGTGCAAGGGTCGGGGACACTCACTGCTGCAGGTTTGGCTTGGGCAGCAAACTCCCTCCTCGTATGTGACCACCAGGCTGGAATTCTCCGGGCAGTGCAGAGGAGGAGGGCAGTGGCTGAAGTTGCAGGCTGTGATAGAGAAAGCTGCTGTCAGGGGCTGGGCTTGCCCTGTACCTGCTTCTTTTCTGTCCCAAGGGCCTACCCCACCACAGGATGTCATGACAGTCCCCAGGACCCCAGGAGCAGGCTCTGATCAGGCTGGACAGAGGAGTCTCCACCACACACACCTAAAGAGCACCTGCTAGGACATTGCCAGGTCAGGACCCAGCAGGCTCCCTGTACTCAAGCAATGTACAAAGCCTGGGAAGGGATGGTGTCTACTCCCTTCCTCCTAGGACCATGTCCGCAGAGCTGGCTGCTGACCCAGTGTGCCTATGGCTCCTCAGGAGAGAGTCCTACCTACGGGTGTGGAGACAGTAGCAAAGGCTCACCACAGCTGAACTGGGGACAACACTGGCCAGCCTCCAGGCCTTCAAGCACCGGCACAAAGCCAGGCTCTGGACAGGTGGTCTGGGGACAGGGCTTCCTTTGGCAGGTCAGTGTGGCCTCCCTGCAGGTGCAGTCCTCGCAGCCGATGCTGATGGTGTGGCCCGGCTATGGGAGAAGGACACGGACCTGGTCTGTGAGTGAGCTGCTCAGCCCAAGGGCAGCTACAGCCAAGCCTTGTATTCAGGTCTCACATGCGCTGAGGGGCTGTGCAGCAAGTCTGGGGGAGAGGGCTTTAGGAGTGCAAGGCCTGAGGCCCTGAAGTCCAGGCACAGAGGCCAGGAGCAGAGGGGAGAGAAGGGCTTTGTCTGGTGGGCAGCCCTTCCCCTCCTCCTCATCACACATCTCTTCAGGAAAGAAGGAGTCCCAGGGAAGGACAGGACTGACCAGTCCTCATGAGACACCCAGCAACTCCAAAGCACAGGCATGGCAGAGAAGAAGGCCTTTCTGGATCCTGTTGGGACACGGGCACTCTCCCTGCCTTCATCTGGCCTTTGGCACATGAAGAAAGCCCCACCACATCCCTGCACAGCCTTTGTTTCCAGAACCTCCCACCTCAGGCTCTGGCCCCCCAAGAACCACCACCATTTGTACCTACCTCCACAGGTTCTCCATGAGGCCCCAGACACCCTGTAGAGAGAGGTCCTGTCATTTTGGGCGGCCAAAGGGATGGGGCAGGAACAGGACCCATGTTGGGCACCATAGTGGGATCTGGGGTCAAGCCACATCCTGGCCCTCCAAACCCCCCATTACATGCTGTGGGGACATACATTGGCAGGAAGGCACGCAGATTGAATCATTAGTACTGAAAGGTGTCATGTTGTCTGGGCAGAAGCAGCCCTCTGTGAAGGGGCCAGCTTCTTGAAGGGTCCTGCAAGAAACAGAGAATTGGTGGGTCCTTCACCCCCAAGTAAGAAAGAACCCAGCCTAAGAAAGCCAAGTGACAGAAGTAGATTCCCAGGGCTTATCAGCCCTGTGAACAGAGGGCTAGCACTTACAAGCTGGTGCTGACGTCATCATTCCTATAGCAGTATTGAGGGTTGGTTGGGCCACATGGCTGGTATACTTTGTTATCAGGGCATGTGAATGCTGTGTGGAGAGAGAGCCACCCCTGAGAAGCCATTTCAAGGCCCCACTTCTGGGATCCTCCAAGCTCCAGCCACTGCTGAGTGTTGACACCCACTCAGAAGCCTTCAATAGCCATTACAACCTGCCCCACGCCCCCAGGTCCTTCGCTCTATAGCTTGTCCAAGACAGCCGGCACCCCAGGCCCTAAGTCCACAGATACTTCCATTTGGATAATCCCCCTTTCCTGAAAACAAACCCAAAGCCCGGGGCTTTTCCCTTCAGGGAAGAATGGCCACGAGGCTTCGTGTCCTCCTCCTCTCCCAGGCTTCTGCCTAGAGCCTCTAAATTCTCACAACAGAGGACAGGAAGGCGGCCTGGCTGGGCACTCACGACAGGTATTGTTGGTCTGGCTTCTCCAGGGGATGCACCGGCCTTGGGCTGCACAGAGTGATGCATAGAGCTCGAGGGCTGAGCACACCACCTCCAAGGTCAACCCATGGCAGGAGTCGAATAAGCAGCCTTCGTAGAATGCCAGCGGAGGGATGATGTCATGGCAGGACTGGAAGAGACTGTGGGTGGGCGAAGACAGACACAGGTGGTGTGTAGCATCCATTATACTTGGGTTACCACTCACAGTGGGGGCTTCCAGATCTGTGGCATCTCCTTGGAGGTGAGGTTCTGGACAATGACTCAGCACCTGTGAGTCTGTCTTCCAAACCAAGGGACATCCCACTTCTGTGTGCGTGCCAGGAAAGGTATCAGCCAGAGTGCCGCTTCCTGCAAATGTCTCTCCCCTCAGCCTCCCTTATTCTGGAATGCTGCTCGCTGCCCAGGTGCAGGCAGTGACTGAGCTTGTATCAGTGAGAGGAACTGATAGAGCACTCGAGAGATGAGCCAACCTAGCCACCACCAGGTGTGCAGCAGCGTGCCAGCAGCGACGACTATCTGACAAGATCCCTAGAGACAGTGCCCAGACCCTAGAATAAGGCTGACCTCACTTTTCTTAGGAGCCTTTTGAGGACTGGGTAGCTTTTGGCAGATGGAACCAGTAAGGTTACCCCCACTTTCTGGAATCTTACTTGCTTAGGAGGAGCTCACAGATTGGTGATGGTGGGCATGGAGCCTGCGAAGGACTGGGTACCACTGAAGTTGATGTTGGAGGAGGTCCTTGGCAGGAAGGCTGGTTGGGGACCTTCCAGTGGGGGGCCATCTTAGAACAAGAGGTTAGTGCCCCTCCAGGCAGGCGGCACTCATCCTTTTGGTCATTGGTACACGTGCCTGCGGGTGAGACAAGGGTCAGCCAGCCCGCGGGGCAGCAGAGCTGTGCCTGGTGTGCTCTTGCTGAGGGTCAAGGTGCTTGGCACCTTGTCTCATATCCTCTCCTGTGTGCCTGACTCTCCCATAAGCCAGTTTGGCTCCCAGTGTACAGGGAAGTCACCGTGGAACAAGTAGATGTGAACCACATGTGTGCACATTCAGAAACCCCTCCAGGCCCATGGAGAAGCTGCTCCTAATACCCAAACAATACCCAGAGTGAGCTTACCACATTGGCCCTCTGTGTTGTTGGCGAACATGTTGAAGGGCACCTCAACAGAGAAGATGAGGCCTGAGAACATGACCTGGACACCAATCTCCTGGATGGTCACATACATCTTGATACCCACGCGGGAGACGATAATGCCATTCTGCTGGAAGCCAGGATTGACTACCTTGTTGTTGAAGATGATCTGGATACAGATAGTAGAAGGAAGTTTAGAGTTAGGGTCCTCAACCTAGACCAAGCCTGCTACAACTCCCTCCAAACACACACAGGAGGTCATGTCCACCTGGTTAGTCATGATCCCATCAACCGGCCTGCGGGTCAGCACCACGCGGTCCTGGTGGTACTCCACGATGATGGACTGCGGGCAAGAAACACTGTCTCCGGGGTCACAGAAGTAGTTGTCGATGAGCACACGGAAGTGTCCAAACACAGGCACGATTTGCTGCACCAGCACATATGTGCAGTTATCCAGAAAAGTGTAGTAAGTGCCATCAAACGTGATGTAGTGGGGATCACCCCAGCCGCTGCAAACACCTGGTGGGGGGAGGTAGCTTAACTTATAAACTGGCTCTCATCCAGCGGGTCCAACCCCTCCCCCACTGCCTCCAAATCGGGAACTCTTGAGACTGCTGTACCCTTGTGACACATATGGATAGTCCCTTTAGACTTGACTGACAGGTCCTTCATAAGCTGCTGGGATTCTGAGACACAGAGAACCCTCCTCTTCTCCCACTGGACTCTATGGCTCTGGGACTCGGTTATCTCCACTTGACATGCCCATCCCTGACCTGATAATGAAAACTCTTTCCTGGTGTCCACCTCATTCTCTCCTCCTCTGTCACGCCTCCCTTTGTTGAACACTATCCCCCACTCACACTGGCACTGGAAGTGCTGGCAGCAACCATCCTGGTCATCCACCTTCACAGGTGGGTAGCCGTTGGCACAAGATGGTGCTTTCACTTCTGGGCACTGGCGTGGGCTCAGGGAGACGACATTGTTGCCCTCACAGGTGGCTTGGGAGCAATTAGGCATGTGCCAGATGTCCCCTTTCTGCAGAAACAAAGCCAGCTGTGGGTCTGAGTCCTGGGCCATGGGATCACCCTTCAGTTCTCAGGGGTATACCATCACCTCTGCCACCTTTCCCCTCATTGAGGGGGAATTTTAACCTCCAGCCTCAACACCCAACTATCAATGCAACACTGATGAACCAGACATGCAAAGCCATAAAAAGACCCAGCCCAAAGCTCACCCTGTGTCAACAGGGGGCTGGTGTTCTTCGTGAGAACTTACATTGAGTTATAATTGCAAATTCACCAAGGTCTCCATAGTGGCCATCAGTCTCCAGGAAGGATAGCAGATAGACTTACCATTCTTGGAGGGACCACATTGCACTGCTCCCGATGAATGACGGGTGTGGTGGTAGATGTAGATGTGAATAGAGCTGGTGTAGGGGACGGCGTGATGGAGGGGCAGTCCTGACTAACACTTCTAACCACCTGGCAGTCCTGGCTACACATGGCATAGTAACAGTGGCCATCAAGATCTGTCTTGTTGTAGATGATGGATCCTGCAAGATCAAGAGGTATGTAGAGGTTGGGGAGGCTCTGGAGAAGACTGCTCCCCAGATAGTGGGTTGCCAACCTCAAGACTTCCCAGTCAATTAAAAAGAAGGATAAGACTAGAAATGTTGAAAGGCCATTGCGGCACCATCTGCCAAACCCAAAAAACGTTAACGGAAGACAATAAAGGTAAGGAGTACCTCGGGAAACTGAATAAAGATGTCTCACTTACCGATAGGATACAAATGGCCTGCCACGCTGCAGGAACAAGGGGTGGTAGAGTGGACTCTAGGGCTGGTCGATGAGGACGGGGACACAGATGAGGGTGACACAACTGGAAATGAGGGCTTGTGGGATGATGTCACAGTGGGAGTCGCAGAGGTCCCAGGGCAGCCTTCAGGAATGCGGCAGCACAGCACTCGCACCTCATAGTTGAGGCACATCCCAGAGATGTCCTTCTGGTCCCGGTTCCT